TCACCTGTGGATGTATCGTCCTCCTTGCTCCACTGGCAACCCAATAGGATTTCAAGCATCCTTTATGTTGCTTTAAAATAATCCTGGAGAATAGCCATAAATCCTGAGAAACTGAAAACAAAAATTATTTTGAGTCCTTTCTGCCATCTTGCTAAACTATAATAAATTATAACTTCCAACTTTCTGACAATAAAAAAATCATACCTGTTATTTAATGCATAACATAATCCATTTATGCATAGTATTTCAACCACAAAATGGGTGACTGGATGCTACAGCTATAGTTGAGTCTGCTAATAGATGGACCAGTACTTCAATTACTTCCCAGTGTACCTTTCGGTCCTATTTTTATGATGCTGTACTGAATATCTAAGTGAAATCATCAAGATGTTTACATAACAGACCTCTATGCCCAACTGACCCGATTTGTTCCTGCTAAGATACTGCCCATAGGGAAAGCAAACAGAAGACACACATTTGCAGCTACTTGGGAAAAGATCTTTCAACCTATTACAGCAAGTTGTCAGTGAAGCTAAAGGTTAGGTAGGCATACAGATGCATTAGGTGCTTAAAGAAAAAAAAAATGTTTAGACTGTTGGACTACAACAGACCTCAAATTTAATAAAAGGACAAATCGATTAGAGCTACACTAACAGAAATGCCCCGTCTTGTCATACACCGCCTATCTGCAGCTTGAAATCGGCTGCAGATTTTGTGCCTCATATACAACGACCAACAAAAAAAAAAAAATCAAAAAAATTCTGTTTCTAGGCAAATTGAAGCCTTCTGAACAGTGACTGACTGTTAATGCTTTACTTTTTTTTTTTAATTCCTTTGAGGCTTCAGATTAATAAAATGGAAAGCTTGAATGGTTTAAGAAGGAAGTATGTTCAGCCTAAGATGCACAGAGCAAAATAATCCTCAGCTCCAGACAACAGTGCTTGGGTAGCTCCTCCCAGACCTTACAGCAGGTTATACAGGAGTAGCTACCACTCACAAGTCACCTTCTGCTGCTGACTTGACAAAAAAAAAAAACAACCCCCCACAAACAACCTCAGCCACATACTACTGCACAATTAAAGGTTTCAGAAGTACTCACTCTGGTATGAAGAAAGAAAAACAGCATCTTCCTCTACAGACTCACAGCTTTTCTTATCCATGAAACAGAAATGCACATCTATTTTGCCTTTGTGACTTTGTGCAAATCGAGACAGGCCTATCCTACAACAGGGAATCTAAAATATCCATAGATTAACCCAGTGAATATGGAACTTGCCCCTATTGGAGCAGAACGCTAAACACCATTTGCTTCAGCTGAGAATGTAAATCAGTGAATGATTATCTCCAAACTGTTGCCTGTCTATAAAGGCAAATACCATAGCCTGAAGCAAAAAGGATTGTTTGTGCATTTTGTCATGATTTATGTATCTGTGGATGTTATTTATCACAATTTTTACTGGCTTAACTTCAGTGGAATCAAAGTGGTAGAGGGTCAGCCACATTTAAAAAAAATAATCTGTAAATTTAGAGCAAGATTCACGAAAGCTGCAAAAAAGATACGAGATGTTTTGAGATAGAAAGTCAAACGTAGTTTTGAGAATACACAACTACTATCAGCAGATGCAATGGAAAACAGGTTCTGAGAACATTCAGCATTACACTGTATCCTCTTCTAAATCCTTTTATAACTAAACCTTTGTAGTTCTTAACCTGGCATCAGACCAGCATGAAAAAAACAATCCTATTTTGGCAGACTGCTAAATCTAAATGGTTTCTCTTATGTCTTCATTTGAAAAATGCAAAGACAAATGTGTTCTTGAGAAACACAAAGACAAAAGGACACGGCCCTCTCCTGCAAAACAGCAGTTCTTATGTTCATGGCTGGAAAGCATTTTCTGGTACTGCTGAACTTTCTGACACTAGAGAGGACCAAAGTAAGAGGCAGCTACTCAGATTCTAAGCTGCGGGGGAAACGTACATTCCACAAAAGCAATGATTGAGACTTTTTTGCACTTCTCCTTGAAAATTAATAATTTCTTTGCTTTTACTAAGACAATTATTTGTCTAAGTGGGAAATCAATTAAACTGCAAGATCACTAGGCTGATGTGTTGCAATTTATTCAGGACTGATGATCCCACAGCTGTTACCTACCGTGGACAATATGTGACCTGTTACAGCACTAATACAATTCTTCTATTTTGCTAGCTTAAACCTGCAAGTCTAAGTGGAAGGAGATTCTGGAACAGACTCCAGTGAACTGCTCTGAAAAGAAAGATGGAGATGCCATTCTGTGCTTAACCAAAAGCAAGCAAGACCATGAAGATCAAAGATACACAAAATATGTAAAGTCACTGAGGAGGACACATACTAGACTGCTGCTTTACATGGACCAGGCTAAGTCGACGTGGAAACTATTTTCAAACATGTAACTAGTAGCTAGCAACAGATTTGCTAGTTGTTTTTCTGATAGGAATGACCTATAGGTTAGTACCAATATGAGAAAATACCAAAAACCACCCCCAAAAAAACTCCTATGCACACACAAAAAACCAAAACCACCACCACCAACAAAAAAACACAACAAAAAGGAGAAATAGGACAAATTTTTCTAGGATGTAGAATTATAAATTATCAGAAATGATGGATGGAATGACTTATATGGCACCAATTGCTACTGAGAAATAAAAGGAGATAATACTCATGAAAGCAGACAAAAATACCTTGTTTGACAGATATTTAATGCCCCCATTCACAACATTATCCCTAAGGGCAGAATCAGGCATGACCATCCAAGAGAGGGAGCTTTCCCAAAGGATACAAACCAGACGCGATTGCTTCTTCAAGCAGCGGCCTGTCATTTGCCATTCAAAGTGCTGCTTTACTTTCTGAGGTCACTCCAAACTCTCTTGTGACTGAAGTCATAACTTGAATTTATTTAGTCCCTATCCTGTTTACTAATTCATTGCTAAGTCCCTCCCACCACGCTAACTAACTATTCACTGCATCCTGTGCCTTCTTTTCTACACACGAACAAATGAGCCCTTGTATTGACGCCTTCGTAAGCATGTTGTCAAGATTGGTTCCACTTCAACACCGAAGCGAAGCGCTGGCCTCGTGGGCCTGGACACAAGAGATCACTGTAGCGACTCGATGTACGGGTGATATTGCTGTACCCTTCTCTTCCTCCTTACTGTACTGCACCCCTGCCAAAAGTTAGCTTTACGGGAGGATGACTCCTTTTGAGAGGACAGACAGGGCTGCCTCGAATGTCCTGACTCAGCATGCTCGGACAAAACCAACTGCAGAAAGAGACATTTGTAACACTTTCTCCAGAAGATAAAATAAACAGAGTGAATGCGCAGCTGGCCTGGTAGCAGCAACAGAGCCTAAGCTTTTGCTCCTCATTTGGCAGGAAGAGCTGCGTAGGAAGGAAACATTTTCTTTACACCAAAACTCTTTGCCACGTTTGAGAATATCAGTGATAAGATACAGCAGCTGACTTCAAAAGTGGACAAAGCTTGTCAAGATTTTACTTTCAGAAAACAGCCAGTATACTTCCTGATCAAGTTTATGCTGATTTTTCTAGGTTCTTATCAACCTTGGTTATTACATTTCTGGTAATACAGAAACCAAGATCCCGTGCTGAACAAATTCCAAGAGATTACTTGGGAGCAGGAAACTGCAGAATTGACCAAGGTCTGTATCACAAACTGACTTCAAACATGTAAAATGAAGGATTTAATGTCCGCTTCCTAAGATTTTGACCATGCTGACAGCTTCTGTGATTAAAAAAGCCACAAATCATGTTCTCAGAAATTCATTATGTAGCATTGTACAATAAAAAACTGGATGCTGTTATACAACTAAGCATCTGGGTAGATTAACCCTGATTACAAAAAAAAAAAATCTCTGGGAACAGCAGCTATTTAATAGAACAAGGATGAAGGCAGAATAAACTACCGGATTTGTGCAACTGAATCAAAATCAAGTTGGATATTAGGAAGTATTATTTTACCAAACAGTAAATCAAGCAGAAATATTAACCTTGATCCTAAGAGATGCTGAGTACAGAACTCCCAGTAATTTCCTACCAAAAAAAAGAAGCAGTGTCTTTACAAGAGAAGTAGAAGTAAAATGACCTGGAACATTCAGGAATGCGTTTGTTCCAAGTACCAAAGGAAAGGAAAACAAGAAAGCCCCAAAAGAGGGTGTCCTGATAGACACGGTGAATACAAACAAAGAGGCAGCTGAACCCACATTGCAGGGACAACAGGGAGACGAGAGGCCTGGAGGAAGACACAGCCAAGCTGAGAGCAGAGTGAAGAAGCCTTTAGCTGAGCTGGAGGTAAAAACTGTCTTAAGAGTTCTCTTCCTATGTTGTAAAGCTGCCCTCCCACTACCTACCGTCAATTAATGCTCAACCTCAACACGCACTTAAAATAATTCCGGTGCTACAGCTCTATTTCACCATTCTGAAATGCTACATAAACATTACATAATTAAAACAGCTAAAGCTTTTCCTGACAGTTCTTCCATTCAGACATGCTCATTCTTCCAGCTATGATGCATAGTTAGTACTTGCAAGAAGTCGGCTCCTTGCACTAAACAGAACTACTGAGCTGCTTTATAAGGCATTTACTGTAACTGCCTTTGGGTACAAACCAAGCAGTCTTTTTTTTTTTCTTCAGCGAAGTGTCAGAACTGTCAGAAGTATCCATTAGCACAGAATCTGTCCAAGCAGAATTCTATCATATTGCTGTTACTACAGGAAAGACAAGAAAAGTAATCTCAGACAAGGACATATGACTTGGCAGACGTGTGAAGCAGAGATATCAGCCTAATATTCCAAGAACAAACTTAACTCCTGCCAGCAAGCTGACAGCTAAGTTCATGTGCATCTGCTGTTTCCTGTGAACTGCGCTTTGCAGAAGTGTGAAGTTAGACACTTAACAATTCTATCAGCTTAAGAAATTAAAGAAAGAACACAGCACTCAGAACCCATATTAAAAAACCACACTTTAATATGTTTTTTTCCAAGACCTAATATATAAATGCAATGGTAATAATGTACTCTTCATTTGTAAGCTCGGATGAAATATATTGAAGTCGACTTTTCGTATATTATATAAATAATCATCTAAAGCAACCTAGAAAAGAAGAAGAAAGCTTAGTCCATATGGTACACACAGATAATTGGGGATTAAGTTTTAAAAGCAATACATGAAACCGAATGAGGAACTGCAAACAGGCTTGACAGTTTTAAGTGGCAGCATAACCATCACATTCAAAGGATATAAAAAAGGCAGCATTTGTGAAGAGAAAAACTATTTCTTACTAGACTAAACAGTAAATTATAAAAATAGGCAAAATTTTGGGCTCTTGTATCAGAACAATGGTCTAAGAATACACAGACATTTTGGGTTAGATCATGTAGTTAATGAAGATGAATTAGAAGTGTTGATCAAAACTATGAGGTTCCACAGTCAGGCACACATTATGATTTTCACACGTTTTAGGTATTACTTCTTCCCCAAATCAACACATGAAGCATTAGTTAACTGTGCTTAATCTGATACTTTACTCTTCACAAATGTATTGGCACAGAAATGAGTCCATCACTTAAAAAGTGCATGATATCACACCTACCGTACAGAAAAAAGCAGGATACGCCTTCACAGGAACTTTCTTACTGAAAGATCTAGCCTGAAAGCAAATGGGATAAGGTGGGAGAAAAAAAAAAAAAGACACAAAAAAAATGTACTTATCAGGAGAATTTAGCATTTCAGATTAAACATCAAGTACTATATATAATGGTTATAGGCAACAGACTGTATTATGAGCTTTTCCCCTTTTTAGTTTGACATCCTGAAACTGTAATTTTTCATTACATGCAAGCCAGCACCATCCCTCACTGTATACAAAAGTAATTACACAGAAGGGGTGTAACACTGGAAGAGGCCTGCTAAAATTCTTATGTGGCGACAACCTTTCAGTTTACACATAATAAACCAATGTAAATTAGCACTCCTTGTTCAACGAAGTTGCAAGTTGCATCTGATTTAACAAATACGGTTTAATCCCTTTTTCCCCTCCCAAGTAACTCTTTGCATCCCAAGAGATGCAAATGATGGAAGATCCAAAAGGCATTTCTCTGAGTCCTTCTTTCTGATCTATCAGCCCCAGAAGTCCCGTTATGCTCCATTAACATTTATGGGATGTTGAAAGGATCTCAGTGCCTCAGGTCCTCAATATCTACAGATCAACGGAGTCTAAACCACGACTGAACCAAAGCTACAATTTAAACCCATGTACAACTCAAGTCCATCTAACAGAGTTGAAGCAAATCTTCCTGTAATGCTTATTTATAAATACAGAATGCCTCATTGGTTTTGCCTGTTCTTAGAGGTTAAAACAAACCAAAAAAGCCTCTGCAAATATGATGAGAATGTAGTTTCTGTTAGGTTTCCGTGGATCTTTCCAGACAACTGAGAAAATCAGGCTGAACCTTCAGGAGGAAAAAATATCGAATCTTTTCGGAAGGCAAATTATTTTAAAACTCTGAGACGCAATAAAGTGTGTTTGTGTGTGTGTATCTAAAAAACAAAAATGCTCTTCCCTGATCTAATGCTCAGCCTCACTATCATTAATTGCAAGATGAAAAAAGGAGGTAATCTTGCTTGACCTTCTTAACCCAGTATGATTTGCATGTCATTCAGAAGGCATGTTATCTTCCCTGATAAATTGAGTCCATAATGATCCAGTGTAACTGAGACAAATGCAAAAAGCCAAAAGGAGACCTTCTTTCAAAAAAAGGATTGGGGGAAGGGGTGCTTAAGAGAAAGAGTGAGAAATGTAGACATAGTTGCAGGCTTTCGAAGGGATCACCGTGAGACTGCCAATACACTTTTATTACATGCTTTTCTTCTAATAAAACACGCAATTCCCAAATAAAACTGCAATCTTCATTATCTTATTTTGCCCTCTGCTGGTCACCAGTCGCAGTAGCAGAAGAGCTGACCACAGTACAGAAACTTTTCCGCCAAAACTGAGAGTTACATTACTACAAGAAGCTTCATATAATATCGCTGAGACCTAATTTAGCATTTGAGGATTATGTTTCGTCTGACTGTGCAACGGGGCTGGTAACTATAACTCTCATCCTCCAAAAAATGTGGTTTGTGTAACCAGTGCCGAGATTGTTGAAACCTCTCTGCAGGTTTCAACTTTACCCTCCCCTGTAATTCCCACCAACACAGAGGCTAAGAGGCTGAAAAGACCCTCAGGCAAAATAAAGATTTTATACAGGAGAACAGATGCATTTAAAGGCAACAGCCCTTTATATTCACCTAAAGTCCTGAAATACCCAGCAAATATTGCCAACAAAAGCCTATTTCATCCATTATGGTAGAAAGTATCTTTATCCTTGCATTAACAAAGACCATCTGATTATCAAGGAGGCTAATGCCCTGTTATTACAGCTAGTTATTGCCAGTTCAAGAGGTTTGAACACTCTAGAGATCATGTGTTGCCAATTATTCTCCACTGATTATGATGGAGGCTGGAAGCAGAGAGGAATTTTTTTTTTTATGTTTTAATTAAGATGATATAACCCACACATTTAAAAAAAAAAAAAGAGGGTGAGGGTGCCAAGATCAACATTCAACTGCACTAATCTGTTCTCCTTGTGTTTATACTTTTCTGTATGGTTTCCAATTACACAACCACACTACGTATTTTCCATAGGACCCTCCCAACGCCCAACACAGGCAGGGCTCTAGGAATGGGGTGGGAAGAAAGCGGGAGTAAATTCTGCCTGCTCGCTTCCAAATCTGGTTGGCACGTCAGGATATGTTGGGAGCCAGGGGACCAGCACACTAAGAATTGTCAAATTATATGAAAGGCTTTGAAGAACTTAATTCTCTCCCTGCTTCTGTCCCAAGGTTTCCATGCAATACCAGCAACCAAATTTTAAACATCTGGACAACAAATACATGTTGCTTGTTTTCCGTCTTGATATGAGGCATTTCAGGACAGGCACGTGGCATTTCTGTAAGCCACAACTGCAACCAAAGTCAAAGGATTTTATACACTGTGCATTATGGGTTGAGGGGTGTGGAATAAAAAAAGAAAAATCAAAACATTTCAACTTGAACAAAAAAATAGTGGACCATTTCTACATTGCATTTTCTCTGTCTCCGTTTCCTGCTACTAAATGGAATAAAGTTTCCTTGGACACGTGACAACAAAAACTGAGACATCAGGTGAAACAACATGAAAATGCAAATTATAAATAGTCTGTATTTAAAATAAAGCCTAAGGCTGCGTATTATTAACAAAAAATAAAAACATTCATCAACTAACCAATCACTGACTGAACAAACCAGGCATGCCTCATTTTATCTTCAGAAAAATGAAGAAGGGCTCTCCTATCTCTACCGCATAAAATACTGTGATGACAGGTAACGCTGTAATTGAGGATTATATTAACAGTGTGAATGCAGAGATAAATTTGGAATTCCTTTCCTTTGAAGTGGTATCTTTTCAGACTACCTTGACTGGAAGTACTGGGTGCAATACTCGAAAGTGTATGTGTACATGAACTTGTAGATACAAGAAACTTTTTAGAGTGCTTCTTGCAAGCTTTCTTTTCCAGATGAAGGCAGCCAGAGCTGATGAAACATTCTTTTGCTTTTGTACTACGTACTAACAAGCAATTCAGAGTGTAGCTAAAGTAAGAGCACAAAAGAAAAACAAGAGTGGGACTCCACAGTTCTCCAGGATTCCTTACCCACTGCTCCAAGCAAATAGAAAAGTCTTTCCTAATTCACTTGGCTGTGAGCCAGGAAAGAAAGATAAGTAAAGCACCTTTGTCAACGTCGTGGCTGCCCATGTTAGGGAATGAATCCCCAACTCCCACACGCGCTCCCCAGCAGTTGGAGGCAACACGCTGCGCTTTCCTGGCAGCTGTTCTGCCAGGCTGTGAAATCCCATCTACAGAAGTGCTTTCTATGGTGCTGATGCCATGCTGACACGGAGTTGCATTTATAAAAGTCTGCTTCGTGTTTCTCTCCTACTAATAAGGCCTGTAGGCACTATCTGTATCTGGACCTGGCTGTGAGCATGCTGCCTCCTGTACGTACAAGTAAGTATAATGTTCATGTAGAAGCATTTAAAGGTTTTGTGTGGATTTTTTTAAAAAAAAAATAAACTCACAAAGTAATTAAGGGTAAAATATTTGAAATTCATTATGCAGCTGTAAGTCTTCGAACAACACATATGTCCAATGCTTTGTAAGATTAGTACCAATAATCCTTATTCAAATAAATAAAAAGGAAGGAATCTCACGTGTTCTAGGTGGACGTGGGCCTGGCTGGCAATGTCATAAATTACATCTCTCACATTTTGCTCTTGCTTGCCTCTTATGAAATCCTCTTGGGAAACTCCATGCTAGACACAGGAAGGAAAATAAAAGAGAGAAAAAGCCCTCAATAAATATCAAGTTTCCATTTCAGCTTTTCAAAAAACTGCCCCAGTAACCAAGTTAATGACACAAGACTGAAACAGCCTAAATGTTTTACCACTGCCCCACGCTTTTTTAATTTCCCTTTTTTTTTGTCAGTCACTTGGGAAAAAAAAAACATAACGAGAACATAGAGAACAGCTGGTACAGACTCTCTCTGCATGCATTCGTTCCCTGCAGTCAGTCAGATAACCAAGACATGGTTTAAAGCTTGGGGAATTTAGATTAATTTAGATGCCCCATCTTTAAAAATCATAATCCAAAAATCACTATGAAACAGAAGAAAGCCAGTAACCGCTAACACAGAAGCTGTGCTGGCCTATATTGCGATCAGTGTGCAAAAAAACCCCTGAAATAAAAATAATTAAAAAAAAAACCCAAACAAAACCACCCAAGCCCAATGCCAATCCATAAATAAACTAAGCCCCAACTTACTCTTTGACTACATTGACAAACGTAGGACATAACGTGGTATATTCAGAATTGCGCCAGTTGCCCGTTCTTCTCAAAGAGCCCTGAGCAGCGTGAGCACGGTACAAAGGCGGGCAGGGAGGCTCCACAGGAGACAGGCTCCAGCAGAATTCTGCAATGCTTGGCAGCCACTGAAACGCTTACAAGATGCTCAGGCTGCACAGAAGGGACGCAAGCTGGTTTTACAGTTTCACTGCAAAACACCTTCAGTGGCAAGAAACGGCTGCGAATTTCCAGGCTATGCTGGAAAAGCTAAAAGCTTGGAAGGCCTCCCATACCATCCAGTCCCAGAAGGGCTGAAAGCAGGGTGCAGTTCCCTTCTGCAGTCTTATAACTCTGACCTATATTAGTATCTAAATTATTATTCCAATGACCTAAATTACTAAACCTCAGATAAAAACTTTATTGCGATGATAGTCAGAAATACTAACAAAACTGCCCTAAGCATCCCCATAATTACATAAATCTTGGTTACGTATAAAAAGAACAGCATTAACACTTAAAAATAAAGACTGGAGATGAAGGAGTAACAGCTGAGATGCCTATAGCTCTAGGCAGACAATGATAATGAAAAAAATTGAGCTTTAATCTCATTTTACCCAAATTGCAAGATCTGCTAAATTCCAATGCAAATTAGGTGTACAGCTTAAACTGAAGGACTGTGCCACCTCCTACAGCAATGTATGGAATGTATGCTTATAGCTATCAACTATGTAAAAAAAACCCAACAAAGCCATAACCCCCAAAATCAAAAGAAAACAATAAAACACACCAGCACATTTATGAAAAGGCCAAGGACATTTATGAGAAGCCCGAGAAGGTTTTCAGAAGTAAAATTTCTCATAGTGCTTCCTTAAGAGATAGGAAAAGAGAAAGGAAAAAAAACCCCACCACTACCAAATCCAGGCCCTATTCCATATGTATAATGCTACACATCAATGGAAAAATTCCTGACAGCTAAGATACTGTTATATTTAATAATTAAAAAAAAAATTAAAACCCAGAAACCCTAGAGCTTAATGAAGGTCACTCCCTCTCACTTCCTGAAAGATATAAAGCCATGACAAGTGCATATTACTAGGCCACAGCAGAAAGAGTTAAAATAAAGAGAAAAGGTGTTCTGTTTCTCACCTAATAAATTATGATTTCTTATCTAGCATTGAGAGACATGGTTAGAAACACTATACCGTTCATTTCCAGACAACCTGCTGCTCTTACCAACATACAGATGTCCATGGGAAGAAAGACCTTTCGTCTTGTACTATGATACGGAGTTGCTCTTAAACAGGTAACTATGCCTTGTGCTTTCCCAATGTGACTGGCTGCATGGTCAGCATGGATGTCCCTCACACCTAAAATTGCAGAAATAACGTTTAGAAACATACTCCCAGGCTTTTTGAGGAGTACAGTCTATGATGTATATTGTGATGTGTACCACAATCATATTTAAGGAAAGTGAAGTGTGTTGGTCCACAATAGAACTATGTTCATATATTGCCTTGAGGTCTCATCTCGGAGGTGCAAAGCAGCAGGCAAATTCATTGATTTTTCACACTCAGGAGCAAGATGCCTCTAGGTTTAGAGGAGTTTCTGCAAAGGGTATACTTAGCAGAGTATCACCCATTCTGATATAATACATCAGTACACAAACTCATTTTCACTGCCATGTCCTCTCCCAGGATAACAGCGTTCCAAGAACTGTTTTTCCTGCCAGAAAAATCATTCAAGTGTGAGATGCCTGACAACGAACAACGCTTACAGCGTGGTTTCATGATAAGCTGCAGCTGATTGCCACTCTTCTGAAGCCAAAAGGAATGGTCCTACGCTTCCCCCTGAACCCGTATTTCTGCCATCTCCTTTCCGCTGTCACAGACGAGGCAGTAACACAGCGAACTGAATGCAATCACCAAAGCAATGGAAAACTAACTTTAGTTACTGCACAGTCACACAACTGTGAGAGTGGCAAGAATCATAGAATGTTCAGGGTTGGAAGGGACCTCTAGAGATCATCTAGTCCAACTCCCCTGCCAGAGCAGGATCCCCTAGGGCAGCCACACAGGAACGTGTCCAGGCGGGTTTTGAAAGTCTCCAGAGAAGGAGACTCCACAACCTCTCTGGGCAGCCTGTGCCAGGGCTCTGTCACCCTCACAGTGAAGAAGTTTCTCCTCATGTTGAAGTGGAACTTCCTATGTTCTAATTTAAACCCATTATTTCTTGTTCTATTGCTGGGCACCACTGAGAGGAGATTGTTCCCTTCCTCTTGACACCCATTCCTCAAAAGAGGGAGAAGCGTGGGGCAGAGCAGCACCATTGCTCTTCATGGTAAGACAATACAAGTCCATACAAGGTTGGCTTAGACTTATCATAAAGCCATCACATATACACAGGATTGACTCAGGATAATATGATAATTTAAAGGAGAATTGAAAACAAAATTCCCAAAAGCACTAACAGAAGCAGAGATCTGCAAAGAAAGAAATGACGACACAGGAATTACAGACCAATGAGCCTAACTGACACCTGAAAACGATACTGTGCATAGCAAATTCACTGTTCGAGCCTGCCTGAGCCTTGCATGGGTCTCAGAAGCCTTTGCAAAACAGTGGCTACAGTTAGACTGTAGTTCGATTACACAGAGTTATTTCGGCAATGGCAGCAGAAAGCAGAGCATGGCTTGGAGAAATCATAGAATGGTTAAGG